AAAAAAAAAAAAAAAAAAACCAGAAAACTATCTTCATTATATAAAAAAGTGAGAGAAAGGAATGAAAGATAGGGTCATAGATGAGGCTTCATACATGGAACTCATTTCAAAGCTACTATCACAGACTTGAATCCACAGGGTGGGCTCATTTCTGCATTCTTCCTCATTCAGTCCTCAGGCCCCAATCCTACAAACCATTGGGGATCTTAGAAAATGATGCTAACTCCCCCATGAGAAATACAGGTTAGGTTCCCTTGGAATAGACTCTGAGATGAAGATTTACATGAAACAGTCTTCTTATAGAATGCTCTTGGAATCCAAATTGGAGGGAGGAAGGCAGATGGACAGACAGACTGGGTGGATGCAAAAGTCAAGACAATATGCTTCTTCATTGAAAGTCTCTACCAACCCTGTAGGTAGCGCTTAGACTCAAGTTGGAGTGAGTGAGAGAGATTAGACTTTTCTTCAATCACTGGATGCTCCTCTTTCTCCAGAAGCAGGAGGTAACAGAATGTGTGGCTCTTTTCAACCAAGGCCATTCCCCTAAGGAGGCTGACAACTGAAAGCAATCTTCTGACAGTACTCTGGATGCCTGGGAAATATATACTTTATATCTGATGGGAAATCTAGGCAGTGAATCTCAGTATTTCCTGCAATAATCTTAATTTGGTGGTGACTCAAATCTCAGCTTCTGCTCTGGATGTTTCTGTTACTAAGGGGAGCGATATGCCCCCTAGAACTTGGTTTGCAAATATTTATTTGGCTACCTAATTTTGTGATCTATGGACCAGAACTCTCTGAAGATGAAGTTGATATATATATGTATTTTTACAAAGATACCCAATGTAGTTCATAGACTTTAATTTTGGAATTATTGTTCCATAGGTAGCCGTGCCTCTGTAATTTTGGCCAATGGGATGTTAGTGGAGATCTATGTACAGCTTCTGGGTCTTGCCCTTAATAAGCAGGAGTATACACTCCCTGTTTTCCAATTCTTCTTTCTTAAAAACTGGAATGAGATAATAGATACAGCAAACCATTATAAGTCATCAAGATAGAAAGTATATATTGAGAATGGCAGAACAAATAGGTGGAAGATGCTAGTAATAGCCATACCTGGTCTGATCACCTACCCAGTCTTGTGAATGAAAGAGAAATAAATTTTTATCTCTCTTGAATTACAGTTACTTTGGGGTTTCTGTAATCTATTTAAATCATAATAATACAGAGATAATGAGCCCTTACCTTTGAAGGACAGGCTTTTGTACTTTGTTTACCTACACCAGGAAATGGACCCATTTGATTTTGGAAATAAGATCTTTTGTAGGTCCATTCACTGGATGATGTAAAAATTACTAATTCTTGAGAACTGATCAAAGCAACAGCTGTTCAGATTATCAATATTTCAATATAATCTATACCAATCAAATGGTTCTGGAAGAATCTACAGCAGAAAAATAAAATGTAGTGAGGTCAAATACAAGTTCTAATATAATTATAGCAATAGAGCCTTCTGGGGGTTTTGAGCAAGATCAAGCCACTTTTTGGAGCAGCTATTCTACTTTTTTTCGTTTGTTTTTTTCAGTACCAGGGATGGAACTCAGGACCTTGCATTTGTGAGGCAGGCGGCAGAACCACTGAGGTAAATCCCCAGCCAGCTATTCTACTTTTTAACAAATAGCCTTCTTCAGTAGTGCAATAACATATCACCATGAACCAGAACAGCTCATCCTGGACCTGACCATGAGCTTGTCTACATGGCTATGAAATTATAAATTTGAAGCAGCAATCCATGAATCTAAAGTCATATATACAGGATAGGTCTCACTTGGAACCATTCAAGTCTCAAAGGTGCAAGTAAGATCCATGAGATGATTTCTTAATGCCCACAGCGTGCTACCACTATATGGCTACCGCATTTCTCTAAATTTGTCCTTTGTTCACTTTTGCTCAAAGGAGGTAGTGTGGTTTAAATACGATTTGTCCCCACCAAAGCTTATGCTGAGGTTTAAGTCCTAGGGAGTTGAAAGGTGGAGTCTAATCGTAGATATCTTGATCTTGGAGGCAGAACCTGCACAAATACATTAATGCTGACATGTAGGAGCAAACAAGTGAACTCTCACAGGAGTGAGTTCTCACATTCATGGGGCCGAGTTAGTTTCTGTGAAGATGGACTGTTAAAGACATTAAGCCTCTTTGTGATAAGGCTTTCATGTGATACCATCAGCCATGTTGTAGCACACAAGACCCACATCAGACACAACCACCTGATCTTGAATGTCTATATCTCCAGAACTAGGAGCTAAATAAATCTTTCCTTATTAATTATCCAATCTCAGATATTCTGTTAGAGCAACAGAAATGGACTAAGTCAGAGTAGTTGCTTATGTCCCTTTGACACAGGGTGAAGAGTCAAGGTTGATATTGTATGACCCTATTATCAGTAAAAAGTGAGCCATGCAGGATTACAACCTAAGGGGAAACATAAAAACTACCATCAAAGAAAATTATCTGCTGGGGATTTAGCTCAGTGGTTCTGCCACCTGCCCAGCTAGTGCAAGGACCCGAGTTCAATCCCTGGTACCAAAAAGAAAAAAATTGTCTTTGGCCATTGTGCATGCTAGAAGTCAGATTGGTTTGAGTTCAGGATTTACACTGGTTCTGAGAAGTAGCAAATTTGTATAAACAGCTAAGGATTGAAAAGAAAGAAATTGGCGGAGGATGCCAAGAAGAGGAAGGGTTAGGGTAATCCGGAACTGATCTGGGCCTGAACATAAGTAAGCAGCTGCTCATCCAAGATGCCCTACCAGGTATTTTGATGGTAGAATTTCAATGAATGTGAGTTAACTTTGATAACTTGTAGTTATCAGAAAGCCTTCTCTTTTTGCCGAGTAGTTGCTAAATGAGGTTAATGAATACAATAACAATTGTGGCAGGGATAGAGGTCTTGCATGGGCTCAGCAGCCTAAATTTCCTCCCCTGAAGTCATTTGAATACCACTGTGCCAGTGATAGAATGCTTTTTCCTTATTGTTATTGTCATGGAGTGCTAGTCATCAAGTAACTAATCTTTTTCTGGTGAAAAGAGGACAGTATTTGTTTTCTGAAGTAACCAATTATTGATTTGTATTTTTTTCTTTTGTCTAATATCTTTTGGCAAGCACTGCTATGGAATTATTGAATAATCCATAACACTGCTATCAAATCTTGTACACACTGCTTCCAATCAAGGAATTTATTTCCAAGAAAAGAAAGGTAACAGGGACATACAGCATTATTGCCTAATTTTTCAGATGGTAGATCTTAAATTTGGCCTATGGACCATACAATTCTGACAGTAGCTGAGGGATATGAACTTGTGAGATGGTATACCAATGGCAGGATGTAACATACTAGCTTAAACAGAAATCAATATTGACATTATCTGTCATGTCCTAAAATTCTCAGCTCACTACTTGGGGTTTTTCATAATTCTAAATTAAGCCTTGCAAAGTAGAAGAGGTTATTGTTATATCATCTGAGATGATCAATTCTGACTATCAAAGGAAAATAGAGTAGCTACCCCAGTAAGGTGTAAAATGTAGGTACATTGTTGGCTCTATGTTCTACCATTCACTGAGATGAACGATATCTCTCCCTCCTTTGGATTATCTAGGATTCAAACTCTTTATAGTTTTTCCACCTGATTAACTGCAGTATGTTATGAAAGGAAGAAAAATTTAGAATCAGTGACAAGAATAGAGGAAAGTCTCAAAGGCCTTGAGACTGTCTGTTGAAGTGACATCAGTAATGGCCACCTTTATAGAGTTATTTTCCATCTTTGGTGGCAGTTATCAATATCCTAATGAACCAGTTTTCCACCCACCATTGGACATACAATGCTCGATGATGGTGAAATTTAAATTTTCTCCAAATGATACAGAAAAGTGAGGGGTAGTACATAAATGGGTTGAAGTCAGTCAGATTTGCCTGCATGTTGGGAAAGGGATAAGTGTTTATTGCACATTTTTACATTTGTAAATAATGCTATCCAATGTCCCCTTGAATATTAATGCACAGGAAGGATATCTGTGAGGCAGTAAGCAACAGATATACTGAAGATGATTGCCATAATGTTAATCTACTTCAACTTCTTTTATCTAAAGCTACAACATACAGAGGAGTGGTGGGTGATATTTGACTGTGGTCTTGCTGAGGTTGTGATATAGAACATAAAGAAGGAGATGATAAAGTCCAAGTGGCACCTGTGTGTCTGGAATTCAGGGAAGAGTTTAGGGTTAGTGACAGATACTAGAAATTCTCTGTGCCTAAACACATATGCATTTGAGTGGACAAAATCTGTCAAAGAGCCTGAGTAAACTAAGAGGAAAGAACAGAAGGCAATGAGAAAATGAAAATGTAAAGCTGAGAGGAATGTAAATGGAGAAGTAAAGTTGTGCACAAAAGCAGTAGTGCTAACTTAAAACGATGAAAAAATGTTTCAAGAAAGGAGTAGAAAAGATGGCGAACTCTAGGGAGAAAAAAATTGAGGGGTCACAGTGTCCTAGGAAAGGATGCTGGGGTAGAAGAACGAGGGTGATGCACCCAGCATAGAGCACTGGGAAAAAACAGCTACATTTCCAAGTAGTGAGAAGAGGAAACAAAGCAGGTTACTGGCCTAAGGAGATAAGGCAGCAGAAACGTGCGTTGGAAAGTGACGACATGACTCTATATCTATTTAACGTGCAGGGTTTTTTTTCCCAGTACTTGGGGTTGAAGCCAGGGCTGTTACACTGAGCTCTCCCTATCCTTTTCCTTATGCTTTAAACTGAGACAGTCTCTCAGTATGTCTCAGAGGCTGGACTTGAATTTGGCATCCTCCTGCTTAGCCTTCCCAGGTGCTCAAATTACAGATGTGAACCACCCTGCTCAGGTGACTTGCAGAATTCTTATTGCTATAAAACAAATGCATACACTCACCAGTTGCTTGCAACATTGTATTTATTTTTTCAGAGCCACTCAACAAGAGAAACAAATGTCTCATTACACGTACTCATGCTCTGGGTAAGATACAAGCGTTACTCTTACTCCTTCATGACTTTTTCTTCACTCATAAAATAAATACAACTAGAAAGGTGGTTTCATCATCTAGATGAAGATAGAAAGGTGGTGTTAGAATTAACGGGTCACGGAGGTTTTTGAATTTTCGCACAGGTCAGCACAGGAGCAGGTTGTGGTGTGTCTGTATCTGTAAGACAGTGTGCTGCCATCCGGGCAATCCAGGGTAATGTCTCTGTACTCATAGTTTTCTTCTCGGCAGCAAAGGCATGAATTTTCCAACTGAAACAGATCATAATTGTACCTGAAAGAAAAGAAAATTCAATAATGAACATTTTTGAAAAGGCTTTTGACATAAACTGCCACCAATGTTTAAATTCTAGTTGTCTGCATGACTTAAGCTTCTAGGCAATGTAGTCTTTTCCCAGCCCTTGCACCTCAGCCTTGTAAATTTCTGATGCAGGTCAATGATAATTGGTGTGTAATGCCACAAGAATAGGAAACCATAAAAGATGATTTATAATTTCACAAGTAGAATATTATGTTGCAAAAAGTAAACAAGATAGATTTCTAAACATCACATATACTGCCAAATTTTCTTTATCAATTAATCTATCTGCAAAATGGTACATAAAGGGAAAATATATAATAACTAAAATTCAAGTTGAAAAATAACTTGGGAAATATACTTGCTTATGTAATCACTATAGTCACTGCAAAAAGATGAATACCTTTGGCCACCAATATTAAGGGATGTTTGTAAAACTATCTCAGAATGACTCTTCACTATAATGCTTGGTTTTTATTTTATTATTTTTTTTTGTACCAGGGATCGAACTTGGGACCTTGTGCTTGTGAGGCAGGCAGCAGAACCACTGAGCTAAATCCCCGGCTCTATAATGCTGGTTTTAATATTCACGTCTTAATTTAGATATTTGTTTCATGAGGTCTAAATCATCAAACAGTATTGCTCTCATATAAAAATTTATCTATGTAATGTTTAAAGATTAATTTCATCCACAAGCTTACAAAGTACATGCATAATGGACATGCACAGAAAAACTCACTGGACAGTCTTTTTACACTCCCCTACACATCTCGCCATCACAACTTTTTTCTTGCAGTTGTTGTAGTTCACAGTCACATTCACAGGAGAAGCTCTGCAGTTGTTGTTACCTAAAACAAAGTAGGTAACAGAGGCACAAGTGAGACCTAACCTCTTAACAAGTGTTAAATCTCCATTGTTTCAGCCAGAGGAAATAATCATCTCAAGTATTAATGTTAATAAGGGTATTAACTATTTCAGCACCCAGGACTAGGCACCTGGTTATCATTACCAATGAAGGAGGGGAGGGACTAAGTAGAAGGAATTGGGAGAGGGAAGGAAGGACATGCATTAGTTTTGCCAAGCATTTTCTCACTGGTGATCAACACCTGTAGGCTTACAACACAACTTGATGTTAGGAGAGCCAGGTAATCTTTTTCTATGAAAAAAAGATTTTTCCCCTTGTAAATATAACTGGTTTATACAGGGCAGGATGGAGCAACCAAGAAAAATAAGTAACTATAATATATAAGTATCTTTGGTAGTTTAACACATAGATTAGAAAACCTGAAAACTAACTTAGGGCCGGGGATTTTGCCCAGTGGTTCCGTCGCCTGCCTCGCAAGCGCAAGGACCCGAGTTCGATCACCGGTACCAAAAAAAAAAAAAAGGAAAACCTGTTAAAAGTATAGGAAACTTTCTGTTCATATCTGCTATTTTGTTTTAAAGAAATGTTAAACTCATCAACAGCTTATATTTTCTCTATATGTGCAGGTTAACTTACATTTATAGCAACATTTGTTTGAGTCATAGATTCTTTCTTTCTGTAAAGAGGAAAAAAATTAGAAAATTAATACTTTTTATAAGCCACATAGAATCAGAAATGGGGAAATGGAAGGGATGAACATGTTAATGTCAGATCCAGACCAGACACAAGAAAGGAGGAAGGGGAGCTCAGTAATAAAAATTAGACTCAGAATTTAGACACAAATTTCCAACACTAGTTAGAAAAGGAAAATAATGTTTAACCCAAATTATTTTAAAGGAACATGTGAAAAATAAAAGATTGTTCCTCACTTTAACAACCAATGATACTAGTAGTTTCTCATAATCAAGATCTGTACCTTAGGCTCTGTTATAATTTCATACCTACCAGTGTCTCAAAGTAAACACTCAATGAAATGTTAAAATACAGTGTTAGAGTTATAAAATCTGAAATTACATTATATACTGTAACTTCAGAAAGAAAAATGATAATTTGAAATGAAGATTTCATTAATTGAACTGAGTCACTAATAGGAAAACCTCTATCACATTTGGGGGCAGAAAAATTAAGGTAATTGTGGCTTAAAGATATGTACGAACAGTACACATATATGTAATTATGGAAATTTTATATTTTTATAGAAATTGATTAACCTGAGCCCATAAGCTTTTGGAAAAAAATGTTGGGTTTTGTTTATAAAAATAGCAAAATGTTTTGTATAACAACTTACTCTTACAGTAGCACTAGAGTTTTATAGAGCCTACAAAATGTGAGTCTTACTTAGGAAAAGGTAGATATACCAGGAATCATTTGGCTCTTGATGTGATAAATGAAAGATCTAAGTTATCAATGAGATTTAAGTCTGTTGGCCAGATGCAAACTTTTCCAAGTGAGAGAGGAGACAGGTTGAGTTTGTGTTTAACAAGAGGTGATCTTGCTGTTGAATGAATAGATGACTTACTTCTGCACACCAGGTCTGTTTCGGGCAGTTCTGAACAACTGCAGCTAAGCCAGCACTACTACAGGAGTAGGAGACACACGGGTTGCTGGGGTCATCGAATGAAGCACCAATCTGGAAGGTAAGAGGGGGAGAAAATATTTGTCCTGATTTCTCTTTGAGATTGATAATTAAATTTTAAAAATCCTATTTAGTTACTGTTCAGTGACGCTTTCACCCATGAGCTTAATACTAAGAATAAAGGTAGTTTGAAAGTCTTCTATTTCCACAAACAAATTGAAATTCTTCAAGGGGGGCACAGAACAGAATGTGTCAAGATTCTCTAGCTTCAGGAGCCGGGGATTTAGCTCAGTGGTTTCACCGCCTGCTGCACAAGGACCTGAGTTCAATCCCCGGTACCAAAAAAACCAACCAAACAAAAAAAACCCCAAGATTCTCTATCTTCAAAATAAAATTCACTGAAAAGTGTTTAAGTTGGAAAAGTTCAAAATTGGTTTATCACCTTAGAACAAATGATCAGTCACCCAAGATGTCTTCCATTTTACTTGTGCTCCTATGTGTTTAAAGCTATTTAAACTGCTTTATAAATAGCTGATGTTCAACGTTCAAATCAGTTTGAGAAATTATTCATCTCAAGATCTCACCCCACAAGATGAACTTTCTTAATAAATTAAAATTTTACTTTTTCAACTGTTTTGTATATACATAATTATTAGAAAATTTTCCTTTTGTTCTTTAAACACCATTATATTTTGTGTCTGAAAATTATCATAGGTTCTCAAGTCAGATTGACTTGGTAAACTAAAAATTAAGAATCCCAGGTGGTAAATGGGTTATATAAATAAAACTGTCATACGTTATTTTATAGATTTCCTAACCTGCCACATATATTTTTAGAATTTTAATATTTAGTATCAAGAGGTCAACTGTATTAATATCAATTTGAGAGTCATCTGACTTTCATGGCTTCCTGACACTTTTTTTTCCAAAAAGTTGAATTACTGTCCAAAATGTCAAATCAGTTGTCAAAATACAGCCCTCACTCGCTTGTGTTCCTAAATCCACATGGTGGGGTTCTAGTCCTTTGGATTCTCTCCTTTGATCTCTGACAGTTTGGCCATCTGATCTTTCTGGTTATAATTACAATTTAAGTTTGTTCATTGATTTAAGTGTTACAAAGTATGTCTTCTCCATCTGGCAAGACCCATGGGGGGAATTCTGTTCAGAAACTCCACTGCTGAGTAGTTAATGATCAAGTGTATTTTCCCCCTTTGAAAAGAGCCATGGTGAGTGCTACATTTGACAGTCCTTTGAAAATTAACATGAAAAATGAAGAAATTATTCCATTATTACCAATGTTTTTTGGGGGGTTCATATTATAAATTGAAAGACCCATGGTGTAGTTTGGCATTGTATTTATTCATATGATTATATTAATAAAAATATTTTAAGCAAAAGGCCATACCTCATAGTCAGTGTTATTATATAAGCATGTCCTTGGTTCTGAAAAATAAATACAAATTTTTATTCTAAAATAAATTCTTTTATAAAACTGAAATTGTAGATGAGATCCTACTTATCAACCAATTATGTTTCTCCTCAAAATATAAGGTCCATTTAATCTACTGATTATATTGGGTTTCCCTCATTCCAAAGATACTAAGTTTTAAGGGGAAGAATAATACATCTATTTTATTTATCACATTACTATTGTGTATAATAACACATAATAGCCTAACAAGCATCTCTTGAATATGTAAATAAGTAAACAATGAACAGACTGAACCCAAATATTGTATCATGCATACACACCACAGAGTCCAATATCACAGCAGGTGCCATTAGATTTAAACAGGACAAGCTTTTCTCCAGTTTTGCATGTGGGTGGAGAGGGACATTCCTTCGGTTGACAGTCTACAGCCTTTGCATCAGTACAGATACACTGGTAGCAATTAGAAGTCCAAGTGTCTCCAGGCTACAGATAGAAACCAAGGTTAGACTTCTATGCAAATGTAGGAATGAAAGCAAATGTGGATTATAGTACAGCAAAACCGAGTACTTACAGATTTCTCTTCTCCCAGTGGACCATGACAAACTGTTAACATGAAATGATGAATGCTAATTAGATTCGGCAAAATACAACCATCTGTTATTTATAGATAACCAGCAGGTGGCCAATACTGTAATTGGCACCAGGATTTGAGTGACAGAATTATGGAAGATTATACAGTGCCTAAAGGTGGATAAATCACATCCACCTACTTCAAGCAAATTGTCCCTAAGAAGTGTGTGTGTCCTATTTTTATAAATCCCAGCAAAAGGTAATTCCTGACTTCTCCTGGGAGTGGACAATGAATCTTATGACTACTGTTTAACTGTTATATAGTCTGATTCATACTTCTACAATTCTGTAAAGTCACAAGACTTTATAATTACCAGACCCAAAGGCCCTTTCTAGTTGTTTAAGTTCCTTGCCACAGATGACATTATTAAATCTGACCTTTGTGAAAATGTTCTTCTTCCTTTAGATTTAATCAGGGGAAACTCCTGTCTTCTTATCTCTATACTTTCTCTGCAGATTTTGTTTCCACAATGTTTGCTATAAAATTAGGTGCTGGCTCTCATACTTCTGGCTCCAGTTCAGTCTTAACTCACTCATCTCATGAGCTGTGGACTCAGTTCCCTCCCTACCTAACAGACAGTACCCCAACCTCAGGCTTGAAGTACACAAAAGAGATTGTGCCATCTCACCCCTATACTAGCTTTATCTTCCACACTAGCTTTTTCTTAACAACCACATTTATTCTTTCAATAATTCCAGTTTAAAACTTAGGAGCCATTTTGATTCTTTCCTTTCCATCATTTGTGATCTATCCTACTGCCAAATCTTATACCTTCCTCCTCATTTTAATCCTTCATTTCTTTACCCTACTTGATACCACACTACTCCAATACCTTCTTATCTTTTATAATACTAAGCTGGCTTAGATCTCTTTCTGATATAATCAACTCCTTTTGCCATAGGTAAAGCAATTTTCCTAAGGTCCAAGTCTTAGCACTGCTTTAATTAAAAACTTTTAATAGCTTCTTAGTCTTGTAAAATAAACATCTTATTCTAGTTTTTAAGGCCTCCCATACCATGACTCACCACCTTTTAGCTTTATCTCACTTCCATTAATCTACACTCAATTAATCTACATATTGTTCTCAAATTCCAATACTATAATAAAGTAATACATCAAAAATATACAATATATATGACATACAACATGCACCTCTTATATAATACAAATTTTTCTGTGAAATTTACTACTGAAAGAAGCAATAAATTTGAAAGCTAAACTCAACTGAAAATGATCTCTTTTTCATTAAAAGATCTTTCTTCTCTTACTAAATAATAAGATTAGAGAATTTTTTAGTATTTTTTCCTATTTACTATAAGATATTATCACATTATCTTCAGAATAGTGAGGACTCCATTTTCTAAATTACTAAATTCTGGCTGAATTGAATATTTTTTGCTACAGTTTAACCCTTTAAAAAGTCAGAATGATCTACTTTTTCAAACCTTCATTTTCCAGTGACAAAATTATGGTCAAGATTTATAATGACATAAAGAAATAAATCTAAGTTCAAGAAACTAATACTTGTTTTCTTTGGGTGCATTCTTTGTGAGTGAAAAATTTGGTGAGTGAAAGCTGTATTTATCCACTTCAACTTACAACATTTTCATGGCTAGTGGTTTAGTGGCCTGGCAGATGAAATTTGATTTACAGGAAGTAGCACTGCTGAATGATTGTGTTAATGGAGGTGTTCTTACCTGGAGCTGGTGGAAGTGTTGCTGAACATCCTGCATAAAAATAGAAAACTCAATAAGTCTCTGAAGTTCTTGGAATCATGCTGGGGAAAGGATAATTACCTAGTTCATTATTCTATTGCTGAAGAAATGGCCACATAGCCAGTCTTAGACATATTCACATCTATCTCTTCTGTCTGCTCCTCGTGGCAATTAAGAACACTACTACAGAATACTTCCTTTGGACCTCAAGTTTTAATATCACAAAAATAAGAAAGTTGAAAGGACAAAACATCAAAATAAACTTTTCAAACTTTTCAAAATTTTCTTGAAAAATATTTCTGATGCATACAGCAACAAAATAAAGAAAAGGATAATTCAGGTTTAGTAAATATCTTTAATCCTTTAAGAACTTTTGTCTTCTTTGTATATTCTCGAATACTACTACTTTGTTCTATCTTCATCCCCACTAAATGCTTTAAACTGGTCACATGTATGTTTTTTGAGCATCAGCATATCACAGATTTTGGTCAACTCAACAATTTACTCAAAAATTTCAAATTCTATTTTAAAGCTGCTAAAAATAAAATTATTTGTGTTCACCCTCCCCCAAAGGCTGGTAGTTGTAAAGAAAGCAAAATTTCTCTATGTTTGACTCCAAGAGAAAGATGTGAAAGTCTGGGGATTAAATGTCTCTATATTTTTGCTCTGGTACCCTAAAATGGCTCATAATCATGCATGCTTACCAAACTACCAGAAATGAGCAAGGGAAATCATCAATTAAGAATAAATACACCAGAAAGTCTTTACGACAACTATAAGATCATCAAATTTATTAGTAATAGGCTGATAAATGATAATCTCTTAACTTCCACATGACTATTTCCAAAAACAACTGATCATATCATTAGTGATAAAATTCCGAATGAGATTTCAAGTAGTATGAGGATAGAGTTGCATTGCATTTTAAAATTAAAATACTTCATAAACTCCAAATACTCACTGCCAAAATTTGCTTGATTCCTGAACCCACCCATCTTTTCATTCTATGTTCCTCTCTCCTGCTTCTTTCCTACCATCCCACCCCGCAATGGGGAACTCCTTCTGCACCCCCAAAGCCACGCTAATTATTGAGGAGGCTATGTTGCCAGCATTCACCGGATTGTGCTCCCATTCCTACAGTTTCTTTGGGTCCGATGGAAGCAGTGACTGCTAACAGAGCGACAAGAGCGTTGAGTACCGGTCCCTGGACATATGGGTAATCCAGAGAAGCCATCCTGTTTCCTGAGATGCTGCAAGAAGAGCTCCTTCATTTCTATCTCTTTGACTTACCTGTGGTAGTAATCCCAGGAGCAGTGGTTGTTTCAGCTCTGTCCTTGGAAGTACCTACAATGAACAAGGGAAGAATAATGCCCTTTGGGAAGGATCATGGGCCATAGGCATCCTACATGCTCAGGACTCTGATACCATTTCAGGACTCTATCACTGAAATGGGAGGACATCTCTAGCGACTTCCCATTCACAGAGATGAAGATTTTTATATGACTTCCACTTCTCCATCCTCCTTAAGTGACAAGAGCTTTTCTTAAACTTAACTCTTTCACTTCTAGAACTTGGTTTCCTAGTACTCTCTTATACATTCTTTCCTTCTACACTAATACTAATGTGTGAGGAAATATCTGTGTTGATCAAGATGACTTAATGTTCCCCTCAACTTGACTAATTTTTAGGCAGATTTTCTCCTAGCTACAAGTCCCTGGCTTCCCTTTTCTTATATTCTTTTCTTCTATTTTCTTATATTTCCCTTAGAAAACTTGTAATTCAATGTTTCCTCTACCACTTGAAGATTGAAATCTTCAACTCCTGACTCTTGCAACTCAGGAATATCTTTGTCAAGGATCTAGGAGCCACTTCTTGGAAATGCAATTACGAGGAAAAAGTCCCTCAGTCTCTTGGTCTCTGTGGGAGACTGGGGGCCTAACTCTGACCAGATTAAATGCCAGTTAGCCAGCGGATGGCCTAACCTAATCCATGCATGGCTCTCGCCCCTGCCCACCCCCCCAATCCCAATGAACTCCAGTATTTTCCACTAGTTCACCCCAGCAGTTAGACTCTCTGTTTGTTTTAGCGGGGTTTAGTGCAATCTTGCCCTTCTCTTGAAATGGCCTTGATCCCTATTGCAATAGGTTTGAATAAAGCCTTCTTTGCCTCTTTAGCTCTGTATGGTGAAAATTTTCTTTTATAGTTGAAGCTTGATAGTCCTTTGTAAAGTTACATGGTCATTCTCTGAAACCCTGGTGTTAAAGGGTGTAGAATGTTGAGCCTTCCTTCAGGGTGGTCCCTTCTATTACCTGAGTGGGGACTTGCTGATGTCCCAGGGATTCTGCTCAGTATCACAGTGGTTCCTGCAAAGACAAAGGAGGAACGTTTTACGTCAGCACAGCCTCTATGCCTGCCTTTACAGAGCAACATCAGGAGGAGAAATTGCTGACCAGTAGTACATGGAGCCCCTTTGAGAAGCATGAAAAGAAAAATCCCTTAGGCAGATGAGGCCTCTTAGATGTATGCCTTATCTATACTCCCTTTTTTGCAGTTTTGCATTGGGAGTCTTCACTATGTTAACTGGGGGCCCAGGTCTAAGCTCTGGACAAACAGAAGGAAAAAAAAAAAGAAAGCTAGAAAAAGTAAATTCCCCAAAGAGATTCAACCCTACATCCTAGGCCTTTACCCCCAATATTCCCCTATGTCAGAGTACAGGCTAGTAGTTTTTTTTGTTTTTTTGTTTTTGGCACCGGGGATCGAACTCAGGTCCTTGCGCTTGCGCAGCAGGTGGTGAAACCACTGAGCTAAATCCCCAGCCCAAGCAGTTGATGACAAACCAACAGGTTTAAGTCCCTGGCAGTCACTCATTTAACCTTCAGTAAAGCAAAGAAGTATGAAGTAGGGACTGCTACTTAAATTACAGTCAGTTCCAGAGAGGGAATTTATTTTGTAAGCATTAAAGTTAGAGCCATTTACTCCACTTGTACTTACCTGTGTTTGAACTTCCAGGGATACCAGTTGTCCCAGCTGCTCTCCCAGGAGTGCCTATAGGAACAGAGAAGGATAAGTGTCACAAAGCCATTCCCATCCTAAGACTATGACGTGGTCATATTTTCCTGTTTCTCTGATGCAATAGAAAACAACTGAACACACTGTCTTGCAGTGGATGGTAAAACTGCTCTGTGTCCCCAGGCCCCTCTCATAAATACATGTTTAAAGGGGATGTATGGGAGAAAAGTCACAGTTGTGTCATCCATCCACTTGTCTAGCACTAGAATCATCTGCACACTGATGAATAAATGAGAGACTCTTCCTTATAAACACATGATTTTCTTCCATTGACTTATCTCTGGGTCTCCACACAGAAAAAAATGTCTGAGCTTGTGATTAACAATCATCAATTTGCAAAATGATTTGCTTCTATTTTAGTAACTTCCATGATCCTAGGAAGCACTGACTCACTGCTTGGCAGAACAAATGGAATAGAGAACAGATGTAGCCAGAGAACTAAACCTATAATGTGTCTTCTAGGAAAACCCAAGAACTCCATACTGGAGGTTGGCCGCCAGATCTCTCCTTAAGGGAAAGTGATCACTCTGCAGCCACATTCACTTTTCATTCACAGTCTGTATACAAGAAACTCAATTGAAAAATCATTAAGAACTCAAAATCTGGCAAAATTTACCTGATGAAATTTCTGCATTGGTGGTTTCAACATCTTCCTTAGAAGTCGTGGCCTCTTTGAGAACAAAGGAGTAAAGTTGAGCAGATGAAGAATTTGCAAACATAAAAATCACATGGTAGCTCCCAATCTTGTCCCCAGAGCCATTTAGAGGGGGATTTGACTTACCTGTGTGGTAACTTCCAGGTGAGGCTGTAGTCCCAGTGGGACCTGGGACAGGAGAGAAAGAAAGGGGAGGGTTACGTGAATAACAACTTCCTTCCTTCCTTCTTTCCCTCCTCCTTCCTGCCCTTTGGTACTGGGGATTGAACTGAGGTCCTTTGCACTGAGCTACATCCCCAGACCACCCCTTCTTTGATGTGCACAACCAAGGTCTCACTAAATTGCTCCATTGTCCCATCTAGGCTTAAAATTTTGATCCTCTTTCCTCAGCCTCTCAGAGTTTTTGGATTACAGGTGTGGCTGCAATGTCTGTCTAATTGGACAGAGATTATTTCCTGAGGTCAGTCCATTTTTTTATGTTAAACAATATACTTCTGCACCTGGATTCATTGTCCTAAGACTTGGAATTGCATGATTTTGCCTATGGTGTTGTATTCCTTTAGCCCTCTGGGATCCTTCTGTCCCAGAGTTAGTATCAAAGAGATGAGGCCTTCCTTATCCTCACCTTTTTCGGTTTCCTATGCTTACCTGTTTACTTCTGGTACCTCAATTCCCTGGAATCATTCTAGCATCTCATAAAGGTTAAGTAATGGAAAAGCCTGAGTATTTGGATATCTTAAATCTTTCAAGATATTTCTTCCCTTCTACTCTCATAGGTTTTTTGCTATGAGGCTGAGTTCTCAAAAAACATGAGTTTCATTCACCAAATGTGTTTCTGGAAAATCCCAGCAGATCCTACAAATTTAATATGAGATTCTGAATTCCTAATTTATAGGCAGTTTGTTCTCCCAGTATTTCTCAGTGCTCCAACATTCTGTTAGGCTAAGGCAAACACATTGGCAACTGCTAAGCCAAAAGGTCTCCCCTTTTCAGGCTCTTTTGTCTTTGCCCACTCTGTGATTATCCTTAATAAACTCACTGGCACCCACAGTGGCAAAATCATCTGTAACAAAAGGCTGACAAATGTTTATCTCCAGTACGAGCCACCTTCTGGGCTCCATGAATCCTTATCAGTTCTCCTGGGTATCAGTATCAGGAAGCCTATAGCATTTTACAAACTATCAAAATCTGACTTATCTTGTTTTCTATCAATTAGTTTTATTTTTATTTAAAGGAAAATATTTTTAAGAAGATAGCTTTTTGCCTGAAATACTAATAGAGAGCTTTCCTCAATAATTGACTAATCCACAGTGGAATTTCTAGCAACAGGTGCAAGGTAAGAAGATACTCCATTTGAATTGAAATAGAAAAGACAGAAATTGTGAGATAGTGAAATGGAGGGAGAGAACCAGATCAAGATATCATAGTAATGATTTTTTAACCCTGATAACAGCATGAACTTGAACAAGTTCATGCTTCTTATAAGAAGTAAAAGGTCCTCTTTGTGCAAGAGAAGCAAATATTATGTTTTCTTAAATTTATTCTCTTTTTATCAAGCCAATATGAAAAACTCTCATTTGGACTCCTTTGCTGTGGTTTAGCACTTTGCCTGGAAGTGCTTTTCCTCTGACTTGGTTCCATGGTACTTTGAGGATGTCATGGTGGGGATAGAGGGTTTATTAAAAATAGTTTAAATTTGTTGGGACCTTAGTAATTAGGATTAAACTCATGAGATTAGGTTTTATGCTTGAGAAGCACAAATAGGTGAATTAATCATCTCTCCTGACCAGGATTAGAATTTTCTGGGCCCCTGGAAACACTAGCTGAATCTGAAGTGTTTCCTACAAAATGAGATGGATAGAGGACTGAGAGTAATACATCATTCTGAGCTTGATAAAATCAATCACATCTAAAAAGTTGGTGTGTGGAGCAAATCAGTCTAAAGAGCAAAGACCCAAACCTGGTTTAAGTGACATATTATCTCTTCAAATAAAATACAAAACCCTCTTTCAGCCCATCTCTCACCCCTGCATCATCTACCACAAATTTGGAGGACCACTGAGAACCCAAAATACTGAAAGGGAAACTCCCTTACCAGTTGCCCTTCCAACTTCAGTAGTAGCTCTGATTTCTGTGGAAGCTGTAGCTTCTGTGAAGAAATAGGAAAAAGTGGTATGGAATGCAGATATTTGAGGAACTGTATAACACTGTTATGTTGTATCTCTATGGGAGACATCAGGTCCTCTGAAGTTCAAAGGCAAATCTCTCCACCACTTTGATGACGCATGTCTTTTGGAACTCTCAGGGGCAATGGTTGTGGCAACAGTTATCCGAGTGGTAACAAAAACCACAAAAGAGAATCAATATGGATTCCCTAATTAGTTTAGAATAAATTTATGGGCTCTTTTTGAGACAGGGTCCTACTTTGTAGTTCAAGCTGGCCTTGAACTCACTATGTAGCCCAGGCTGGCCTGGAACTTGCAGTGATCCCCTGCCTCAGTGCTGGGATTACAGTCATGAGCTACCAAACCCAGCTAATTTATGGGTTTCTTGAGTGAAGGGAAAGAATGATGCATCCTGCATTGGTCTTAATTATGCCACTCTCTTTCAAATTTATAAAAGGTAATTCATAGGGTAACGTGTTAGCATACTGCCAATTTGTACTTAGAGAAATTGGGTATAATTTCCACTGAGTTTATTATAACCAATGTACTTTAAGAAAAGAGAACAATAATTATTTGGTGGCAAGTGCTCATCTGTTTTAACCTTCATCTCTGGGGTTCCGACACCTCTTAGAGAAGTTGTAGCTTCTAAGTGAAAGGAGAAAAGGAGAAGTGAATTCAGAAGCACCACATAACTGAAGCTCCATTCTGTTAAGTTATTGATTTACCTGTGTTGGAACTTTCAGATGCAACTGTTGTCCCAGAGACTGTCCCAGTGGTGCCTGAAGTCACAGAGAGGAAGCGAGAGAGAGAATCAAAGTAATATGTTTATCATCCCAAGAGTGTGGCCAACAATGACTGTTGGTGACTTGAGAGCAGCAGAAAGCCCTTCTTGGGCATCCAGTCATGATAAAGTACATTTTCCATTTTTGACTTCTAAGTCACAATAAACACATTAACACATGCAAGAACATCATTTTCAGGTATAGCTTGTTCCAGAATTGTTTTGTGTGCTGACATAATGCTTCAGTATCACTATAAAGTTAGTAGTAGTGGGGTACAGTATGGGTTGGTGGTGGATTCAATGACAACATCCCTTTGCCTGGGCTCGATGTCAGAGAAATAAATGTATCTTCCTTTATTCACCTGGTTGAATGCCAGTGAGTTGGCTACCAGATACTTCCAGAAGAAGAAACAAGTCACATTTGATTACCTACATTTTCATTTGGATAAAGTACTGATATTATAGAAATGTGACAAAGAAATTTAGTAGTATTGTGTAGTGGTAATGTAATACCATGGATAGGAGAGACTGGATCCACACCACCTGAGCTGAAATCTATTTACTTGCAGTAGGACCTTAGGCAAGTCAGTACCTATGAGCCATAGATTTTCATACTTGTAAAATCAGTAAAAAATAATAGTATTCACCTCAGAGTGTGGGGTAAGGAATAAAAGAACTAAGTAGAAGGTATAGGGTAGTATCTGGCACATAGTCTGCTAGAAAGTGTTTGAAATTGCATGTCACCATTCTTACAATTGAAAAGTGGAGAAGTTAGGAAATTTGTGAGCTCACCAGTATTCATTCCACCTTCTTTGGTTGTACCACCTCTAGAGGATGCTGTAACTCCTAAGAGCAAAGAAAGAAAAATGTGAGGTGACAAGGATTTAGCATTCTGAGGACAATGAAGAATGTACTTTTGTTGAGAGTTGTATTGTGAGAGATACTTCACAACTAGAGAAGATCCTGTGGGGTTTCTCACCAGGTGGTCAGCTCAACCATGTTTGAAATCTGTGCAAGTGTGGTGCCAGATGCTAACTAAGGGAAGTGGTGAGCTCCTCCCATTGGGGTGAGGGTAAGTTGGGAAGGAATTTGGGCTTTTAAAACTGGTGGTGAACTATTTACATTTTCTCATCCATAATTTTATCCCCAAGCCAAAGAAAGATGGAAATTCATCAACATAGGACCCCCACCTCTGGAATTTAATGGAACTAAGAGGCTCCTTTCCTGCTATATTTATCTACTGTGCTTGTAGTTTCCTGACTTACTGATGTTCCAGTGGGAGCTCTTAAAAAGATGAATAGAGAAAAACTTTTGAGCATAAAGGTAAAGTAGAGTTATTGGAAAAATTACTGCACATTTCAGTGACTTTTGTGCCCAAGGAAGAATCTATTGCACTGAGGTTAATTTTCTGTGTTCATGTTGGCCTTCTGTTAACCTGAAATAAAACTTATTAAGCCTGTATTTTCTTCAGTCACTATTGTGGTAATACCTGAAGTGACAACAGGAAAAGAAAACTTTCTAGGTAATTATCACTTCCACTCTCATTTGCAGGGATTTATATAGGTGTCTGAGTCATTTCTTTCTTTTTTTTTTTTTTCTGAGCCATTTCTAAGACTTCAAAAATCTGTCCAAGTTGACTCAAAATCAAGTTACAAAAGAAAACTCCAGTTGTCCTTCCCAGCTGGTTGATTTACCTGAGTTGGTGTCCTCATGGGCAGCTGTTGAAAGAGAGGTTGTTGTAGCAGAATTCCTTGTAGCGGTGGCTGTTGTAGCAGAGGCTACTCTAGAAGTTCCTATGTAAGGAGGAAAATAAAACAACATGGTTATATTTTCCTAACCTTAATATGGCAAAAAGATACTTCCTGCACCTGTAACTGACAATAGGAGAGACATCTAGCATGTGCTGTTGCAAAGCCATGGGTACTGCAGTAACTAACATCCCTGCCCCGATTATCTCCTTGTTTCCCAGTGTTGATGGTCTCATCAGCCTGTCTTCACCTGTCTCACTGCCTAGTGCTTCAGTGGTCACTCCTAATAAGAAGAAAATGGGAAACAAAAATGTATATTTTCAACTGTGAGCTTCAAAATAAGATACCCTACTAGTTTCTATGTTGAATGGAAGTCAGTGACATTATACAGTTGAAACTTTTTTCAAAGGGGAAACCATTTCAGAGCCAGGACTATTGTACCTCCTCTCCACAGATCTAGATCCCCATGGTTAGCCTCTGAGAAAGGAAAACCTTTGGGAAACTGGGCCCAAGTGACTCCAAATTTATAAATAAACACTGATTCCCTTGAAATGATATAGCCTCAAAAGCAAATTTTAAAACTCTACTCCACTTTAGAGAAAATCTCTGTATTATCAAGGTAAATTATGTATTAATTAAAATTATACCAAAATAAAAACTTACTTTAAAATTCCACAACAATAAATAATTCACAGCAGAAATAAAATCAGGTGAAGATATGGGGGTTTTAATTATTTATTGTTGTTAGATTTGTTGAAGGAAATGGAGTTTATAAATAATTTTTTTTAAATTGTGGTTTCTTAAAAGAGAACCAAAATGAATTCAATATCAAGAAAGAGGGATGAGCTGAGGTAAGCATAATCTAAAATTCATTATTACTTATTAAGTCCAAAAAGAACCGCCTCTGATGTTAAAGTAATAGAAACATTCATCAAACCAGTTTAATTGCCTGAGAATTGAGAATAAAAATTTTAACTACAAATGATTCTTAACTGGTCATTAAGTTTCTTACTTTGAATAAACTTCTTAATAATAGTATGAAACTTATAAATGTTAGATGTACTGATTACTATTATCACCTTTTGTTTAAGTATTAGACTTCCCATGTGCAAGAGTTTTACCAGTAGCTACTATATTGGAACTTGAAATTAGTGAGTGATGGGAATCAATATGCCAATTCTTTACCCAGAATTAGAAGAAAATGGCCTCAGATAGGGATGAGGGAACTCTTAGCTTTTCTCAATATGCCAAGAAATTCTTTTCAGGAATTTCTAGATCCCACAGAAAATTTAAGGACTAGTTTCAATAACTTAATTATTTCCTTTGGATAGCAATGAGAGAAAGAAAAACATTTTTCTTGCAGTAAACTAACAGATTCCTAGGACCTTCACTCTGTAGTGGAGTCTCCTTGGAGCAGATGAAAAGAAGATAAGAGCTTGAGTGTCTGACTTTTAGTCACTAGGTTAAATTCTGGCTATCCATGAATTTTTGTTTAGAAAGTGCTCCTCACAAGAGGTACAAATACCAACACAATTCACACAACTTTGTGTACTGGGAAGTAGGTAGGAGGCTGTCAGGGTTTACCTGCAGTGGTTCGAACTCTAGTTGTTCTGTTTTCTCCAGGGGAAGTTGTGGCTGCTAAGAGAAAAAAACACATTCAAGGAACAGATTCAGGGAGTTTGGAATAAAACTGTGGTGAACCAAATGGAAAGACACAGCACTGCAAGAAATCTCAGAGAGGATTCACTCACCAGTGCCAGAACTTCCAGGGGCAGTTGTGCTGGAATCTACCCCAGAGGTGCCTGAAATATGGAAGAACTGACCTTATCATGGTGGCTCCCTAGGTCAAAGGAGGCACCTACACACGTGTATATGTGTCATGCCTACGTTTATTCATTGGCCATAACCAAAATCTGTTCTCAGGGCTGGGGATTTAGCTCGGTGGCACCATGCCTGCCTCACAAGCACAAGGTCCTGAGTTCGATCCCCAGTACCAAAAATAAATAAATAAATAAGACAAATAAAACAAAATCTGTTCTCAGCGCATATGGTAAATCGGCTCTGTTTTCCTGCCTTCAACAAATCATAACCAGAAATAGACAGTGTTCCCAATTTGAGGTACTTCTGCCTGAGTTTGATTTTAACTACATGCTTTTTTCCCCTGTTGTAGTAAACTCTGCTGTGAGGTACAAAAAGAGGAATAAAAGGTTTAAACATGCTGACAACTTTGAATGTCCAAGCAAATTTTCATACACGTGTACATACACATAAACATGCACGTGTCCTGGTTCCATGGAGCTCTTTTCTATTTCACACGTGTACACATATGCTCGTACAGACTGAAAATTTCGTGGATTTTAGCTAAAATGCTGGTGATGTTTGGAACATCTGTAGGGAAATCTCATCCCATTTCCAGACTTGGGATTTTCAAAGACTTTTTCCCCTGGTTCTAGGGATTAAACCCAGAGTCTTGTGAATGCCAGATAAGCACTGTACCACTGAGCTACATCCCCACCCCTTTTTTATTTCAAGACAAGATCTTGCTAAATTGCCCAGGCTGGCCTCAAACTTGTGATCCTCCTGCCTCAGTCTCCTCAGTAGCCACTATGCCCAGGTCAAAGTTATTTCTAATAACAAACCCACTTTGATTCATTTGGAACATTCCTAAACAAAATGCAAACTTTCTCAACAAAAGTTTATCCAATAGCCCTAAATCACAGAGTATTGTATTCTCACCTGTTTTCAGTCCAGTCTCAGTAGTACCAGGCCCTTCTGTGGAAGTTGTAGCCTCTGAGGAAAGAAATAGAATGATGAAATCTGGGAATTTGGGATAGTAGGAGGAAATATTAGGGTGCTATTTTGTTGTTGTAATTCTGTTATGGTTCATATCCAGATGTCCCTCAAATCCTCATGCATTCATAGGTAGGGCTCTGAGGAGGTAGTTGGATCATGTGGTATGATACTCATGAGTAGATTAGTACATTGATCAGCTTATAGCTAAATGTGATGTTGGGAGGTGAAGCGTGGTCAAAGGAGGTGGGTCACTGGGGGTATACCCTGGGTCTATCTTTTTTCCGCTCCTCCCTGAAGCTCTCTCTGCTTCCTGGCTACTGTGCCATGAGCTATTTCCCCTTTGCTGTGCCCCTTTACCATTCTGCCCTTGGGGCCAGCCAACTGCGGACTGAAACCTGTACAAACTATGAGCCAAATATACCTTTCCTCCTTAGACTTGTCAGGTATTGTGTCTCAAAAATGAAAGTAACTAGCCTCAAAAGAGATATCATGACATTTGAGATTAAATATGAGACACTTCTTTCTTACCTATGTTAGAACTTCTAGATATAATGGTGGTTCTTGAAAATTCTCCAGTGGTAACTTAAACGCAAAAAAGTGAATGGAACCATAGAGCATTACTTCACCAAATTAACCTTGGAAGCATTAAGCACTGCAAGCCCTTTTCTGAGGACTCTATCTCTGAAGAGAATGGAAAATAACTTTCTAATATTGTATTTCCAAGGCCTAAGGGAACACAGGTAGTTTTCTTCCAAGTTCACCTGTCAGAATCCCAGTTGCATGGCTTCCTGGTGTTGTGGTGGTACCTACAGTGGGGAACAGACCAGAAAAATATTTGAATGTACCACGATCATGGGATAACACTCAGTATCATTATGGATTTATTAATTAAATATTTATACAGGATAGGATGGCTTCTAGAACTCACACTGCTTTCCCTTCTTCCTTGAAATACATTCCTTAACTCCCCCAAACCTTAGTAACGTGTACAGCATCACATTGACACACAGCACATCTTTACAAAGTTACAGCTGTGAGTCTAGATGCTGTGTGAGAGCTTTCATAGAATGTGCTCAGTGTAAGAAAATACTAAAAGTAACTGCACACTATTCAGCAGGAAAACACTCCTCCCCCCAGGTGAGCCGATGGAGAGCCATAATCCTTGTGCAGCCACACTGCCCTGCTCAGCCTCACCTGGTCTGGACCCACTTCCAGGAGTGCTGCTGCCTCCTGCTAAAGTTGTGGCCTCTGTAGGAAGAAAATGATGAATGGTGGGGTTTGAAGATTTAGGATATGGGGTAAAGAATTATGCTGATATTTCATCAAAGTGAGTCTAACAAATTTATTATCATCTCAAGTAAATATGAATTCCTTATTAACCTACTTACATGGGAACTTCCTGATATAATGATTGTCCTAGATAATTCCACTGTAATACCCAACACAAGAAAAATAAAGGTTCACCTCTGACATTAGCTACGTGGCCATGTGGCCTTGAACCACACGAAGAACTCTCCTGAACACCTCTGCTTGGGAAGGGAACAGAGGCCACATGGGCACCATCTCATCTCCTGGCCCAGCCATGGATCACTGTTGGTTCTCAAGCTCCCTCCCCACAGAGCCCATTCCAGCATGGAAGCAGATCTTGTCCACCTGTCTGTTACCTGTTTCCCTTCCAGACCCAGGGTTCCCTGTGCAACAGACAGATGGGAACAAGGTAGACAGAGATTCATGTTTCTAAATTTGACACATCAAGGACTCAAAGTGTTTTTATATTCAAATGCTTAAAATAGAGTCCATTGACTCTAAAACTCTCAAATTGGATTTAGTCCATCCTGCCTAGCTTGGAACTGCGAACTCCTTCTGCCTCTAGGTGAAACTGTGGTGGCACCAATTAAAGTAGCAGGAAAACAGCTTCAAACAGTACATCTCACCATTCCACTAGTACTTTTTTTTGGTACTGGAGATCAAACTCAGGATCTTGGGCTTGCGAGGCAGGTGTGGTACCACTGAGCTAAATCTCCAGCCCTCCACTAGTACTTTCTAAGAATTCCTTTCTCTCTAACATTGTTTTAAGCCCTGGGAATGTAACAGCAAAATATTCAATGATCTCTTCCATAATGTAGTTCACATACTAGCAGCCAGAAAAAAGCAGTGAAAAAAAAAAAAGCATATAAGTCAGTGTGATTTGACTCCTAGTGCTTGTGGCATTTGTAATTTCCCAGAATTAATGACTCTGAACAATTAGTATAACCATCCTCAGAAATTATACCTATGATTAGGGAGTATTAGTGACAGTTTTCAGGGTAATTCCAACCCTGTAAAAGAATTAATTGGCCAAAACAGAAGTACATATCAGTAAATGGAAACTGCCCTCCAGAAATGTCCCCTCTGTAGCTCTCCTAGGAGTACCACAGTTGGCATTAATAAAGAAGACGTGAGCTTCCACCTCTCCTCTGTTTTGAATCCAATTCTGGTGGTGCCAATGTCTTTCTGTGAAAGTTGTAGCCTCTGAGGGAGCAACTGGTGTAACACTAAGTTCTGGGGATTTAGGGTATTTTCTGTGGTTTTATGAGTGCAATCCTACCAAGAAATCATTTCCTCTGGGTGTCCATAGAGGTGATGTTCATATTACTTCAACTATCTGTATTAGAAATTTATATTTGGATAGCTGTCTCAGAGCTTGAGCTCTGCAATGACACTTAAAACAAGAAAATTTAGCAACACATCCTAATTCATCATGGAAGCAGCTAACGGGCCTCAGACCTAATGCTCCAAATGATAAATCACAAATGTCCTCTTATGTCATCTCCTTGGCCTAATTATTCATAGCTGCCTTGCAAACAGATATTTCTACATTCTAAATTTCATGCCTGTTTTACTTCTCCTTTTATGTCTCCCTAGAGTTTCAGGAGTGAATACAGAGGTAAGCAAATGGAAGATAAAGTTATTATTATTACTGCCTATCATACTACGGTTGCTTTCCATGACATCCACAAAGTATTCACACATACAACATGCTCAAACACTCATGTGAGAATAAAATCCAGCTTACATTTCATTTATGTAATATTACCTGTGGTGGAAACTTCTGAAGTAGTTCTGATTTCAGTGAAAATGATGGTGGTCACTATTAAAAACAAAATCATGAACTTCAAACAGGAACATTTGGCTGAGGGCCTTAAAGCAGGCAAATCCAGAGGGAATAACAATTTTTCTTGGGCTTGAGTACTGTGTCCCTAGGAAAATGTGGTCTCAGCCATCATGTTCTTTTGTTCCTTGCTGCAATCCCAAACAATAAAGCAATGGAACCCCAAATCTCCAAACAATGCCCACCTCTAGATAGCACTGCACTGGTGGTCCCTGTAGCAGTTGTGGCATCTGAGAGAGAAAAGAAGGAAAGTGTCTTGAACTACTCCGCTACCCAAATGGCCTGCCCCGGGCTCCTTATTATGTGGTGATTTACCTGTGATGTAAGCTCCAGTTTCCAGGGCTTTGCTTGTGACACTGCCAGAAGTTTCTGCAATAAGGAAGAAATGATCATGCTATGATTTGAAACCTGCCCATTTAAAAGTCTCCATTTCTTACCTGCATTAGGAAGTTCCTTCTTTGAGATTTCTAATATCAAGAATTAATTTGTATGCTTCCCATGTTGCATTTCTTCCCCGCAGCTAAATTTCTGAAACAATTCTAGACTCTTCTGTCTTTCTTTAAGATTTGATGCCAAGAAACACAAGTTTTCTCAGTATTGTTAAATAATTTTTTTGTAGAAGAGTTTAATCAGAGCAATTGAGCTCTGGGAGCTGCAGAAGGCCTTGTAGCCAGGTAATTGATTGGGCTATACATGGTTAATTTTTTGTAGTTAACTGACTAGTTGATTAGGCTACAGCCAACAAACTCATTTTCTATTTCTCATTTTCACATTTCTATAAATGGATGATACTGGTGGTCGGACTTCTCTGGTTTTGGGAGCTATACAGTTCACAAGCCATACTTTTGTTTTGTTTGCTTTGTTGAAATAAGCTTTCCTAAGCTTCACTGTTCTTCTAACTGTTCTGTTAATTGTACCCATGTATCTGATTGCCAGTGACCTCGCCCCTTGGTACCTTTAGTGGGTTCTTGGGGTGGAACAAAGTTTCAGGGTCCTGAGTCTTGTCAATTGTTTTCAAGTAGCTGACTTTCATTAAAAATGTTTGTTATTGGGGAATAGAAAACTGTGGCTCTATTTCAGGAAAAACTGTTTATTGGGAAATGATCAGAAAATGCCAGGTGCAAGAGTCATTCCAAAGGTCACCCCAGTGGAACCTGAAATACAGAATCCAGGGGTCACTTTAGTGACTCATTCTGCCATGAAATAACTTTGATCTAGATGCCAAATGTATGTTTCTTTGCTATAGCAAGTAGTGTTTTGTAGGCACTTGGCAGAATCCAATGGTAGGAGTTTCTCCCCTTCAACTGTCCCAACCTCTAAACATGTTCTTCTTTTGACACATTCTCCCTTGGCATTCCTTGACAAAATATAAAGAATAAAGGTGATTTTCATTCACATGTACTTGATTTACTCTCTGTGCCTTAGCTCTCTGCTACAAAAGACAGTTTATGTCTGCTGAAGTACCTGAGATAGTGGAAAGCTACTCAGCATTACACATTCCTCCTGGTCAGTAGGACCAAGAAAAGCTTTCTGGAAAAAAATGAGATCTGAACCGGATCTTTACTAGGAGTTAGGTTTTGTCTATTTGAAATTCAGAAAGAAGTACAGCAGATAGAAGACACAGAGAGAATGAAGACTTAGAGAATTATAGAAATATATGTTAACCACCAATTTAGCTTGAAATAAAACTTTCTGGTGACTAGTTTATAAAATACCTTTTTATTGTTGTTGTTGTACTGGAAGCTGAACACAAAGCCCGATTCATATTAAGGAAGAGCTATACCCAAGTCCTTCATATTTTTTATATTTTCATCTTGAGACCAGGTATCACAAAGTTATCTAGACTGGCTTCAAACTTGCAATCCTCTTATTTCAGCCTCCCACATAGCTGAGACTACAGATATGTATCACCATATCTAGAAAATATATTCTTTTAATAACTTTTTAAAATAACTTTTTAAATAACTTTTTGTGGTAATGGGAATCAAACCCAGGGCCTCATGCATGCTAGGCAAGTATCCTACCACTACTAAGATATACTCTCAGCTCCTATATTACAGTATAAATTCTTATACAGGAACTTTATACAGTGCCATCAAGTAATTCAGGTAGGCTAAAAGGTGGTCTGGCTATGAGGATGAAGATAATGAGAAGTAAAAGATTAGAACTCCACAATCCCTGGTACCAAAAAAAAAAAAGATTAGAACTCCAAATACTGGAGTAAAGAATTTAGAATTTATTTGAAGATCAATGGGTGGTTGCTAAGGATACTGATGACAGAACTGACATGAAAGAGATAATAATCATTATAGAACCACTGACCACCACTTTGTATAGAAAGCATCTGAGAACAGAGAAAACTGAAAGGGAAGAAACTTGCCTACAATAGTCCAAACTAAAGGTTCTTATGAATGTGAATATAGTAACTCCTTCAACTGAGGAAACACAGCAAAGTAGAATGAGTTCAAGCTTTGAATCAAGCAGATGTGTCTGGTTTTAAACAGTTTGAAATTCTCTGAACCTGTTTTGTCACCAACAGTGTAAGGCAAATAATGCCTCTGTTATTCAAATGAGGGACTAGATGGAACCTAAATAAAGTTCAAATGCAGGGAGTGCTCAGCACCTGCCAAGCTTTCTTGAGTGATACCTTAATGATGCACCAGGCACAGTCTCTGTCTTCTTGCAACAGAGGCAAAAGCCAAGGACTTTAACCGTGAACAAAATAAAATGAAAATATCTGTTTTGGGGGAGCATACCTTCTAATGTAAATGCTGAAAAAACGTGGAAAGGGTACTAGTTAAGGAAAATTGAGCCAGGCATGGTAGTGAATGCTTGTAATACCAGGACTCTAGGGGGCTGAGGCAGGAGGATTGCAAGTTTGATGCCAGCCTGGGACACTTAGGAAGAACGTGTCTCAAAAAAAAAAAAAAAAAATTAAAAAGGGCTGAAGATGTAGCCCAGAGCAAAGGCCTTGGGTTCAATCTCCAGTACTGCAAAATAAATAAATATTTGACATGTTCTGTAGGATGAACTTATATCCCTCATTTTTTTTAACTATTAAGTTTAAAGAGGGACACCAGGATATAATAAAAGCTACATTATTTGCATGGGAACGGTAGGTGACTACACTAATACGTTGAGAAATATGGTACTGCTTTTTCATAAGGGGGATATTTGGGGAGCTGTTTTCTTTTGATAGAGTTTGTAACCTTATATACAACCAATGTAGTTAGCTATTATGAAAGTGAATCAATGCACCTTTATTATTATTTAAGAAGGCATAAGAATAGAAAATAGCAAAAGCCCTATGCTAACAAAATCTAATTTAAAGTTCATGTTTTATTAATAAGATAAATTAAAATTGTTACCATGTTTCTTATTCTAGTTATTACAACACTATTTCAAATGCAAATTTATAATCTCATATTTTCTTACCAGCTTTTTCAGGCTGTCTTGATGGCAATAAAATTTTAAAACACAAATATATTTATAAGAGTACTTAAAAAAATTCACGTATCAATTTAAGTATTATATTACAATTTGAGAAGAATGCCATATTCCCTTAGATATTTTTCAAAATTCAAATGAGAAAGATAGAAATCCTCATGTCAACAAACCACATTGTGCTGAAACACATTTTTTCATCATTTTAATTCCAACTTATGGGGCCTAAGAAGAGAAATAATAAATTCATGCTTTAATTAAAGAATATGTTTGAATTTTATTTTAAAATTCACTTCAGATTAAAATGCTACAGAAAATTGGAATAGATGATCTTTATCTCAATCTGATAAAAGGCATCTATGACAAACCAACAGCCAATATCAAATTAAATGGACAAAAAATGGAAGCTTTCACACTAAAATCAGAAACAAGACAAAGATGTCCACTATCACCAGTCTTATTCAGTATAGTTCTGGAAACATTAGGCAGAGCAGACTAGAGAAAGTGATAAAAGGAATGAGAATTGGAAAGGAACAAGTTAAATTATCATTATTTCCAAGTGCCCATCAACTGGAGTCTGGATAAAGAAGATGTGGGTTTTTTTTTTATAAAATGGAGTACTACTCAGCCATAAAGAACCAGAAACTAGAGACATTTATGGCTAAATGGATGCACATTGAGGCCATGCTCTTAAGTGAAATAAATAGGACACACGTGTAAATACCGAATAGTTTCTCTAGTGTGAGAAACTGAAAGTGTAAATAAGGATACACATGGATAAAATGGCCTAATAACATATTTCTTGGATTGTGTTTCCATCGCGTGTCATATGACTGTATTGAAATTTGAATTAGAGAGAAATTTGGCTTATGTGGAGTGTGCTAGCTAACTGGAGTTTTTTTTCCAGCCCACTATTTGTTCAATGTTGGTTTGGGGGATCTTTCTGAAACAAATCACATGCTCTGGTGTCTTCTTGGTGCTTGAGATGTTTTATTAAGTTATATGGAAAAATGTTTAAGTGCTTTTCAGTTTTGTTTTGGTTGAGTTCTACTGCATTTGAATATTATTGTAGGTTTTTTTTCCCTTGCATTATTCTTCGTTGAAAGGTTTTAATTTCTGTATGTGTGTGTGTTTGGTAATAAAGTTATTTTTAAAAATTTTAAAAAAATATCATTATTTGCAGATAACATGATACTCTACATAGAAGACTCCAGAAACCACCAAAACACTTCTATATTTAATAACCAAGTTCAGTAGTGTAGCTGGATACAAAGTCAACACTTAAAAATTAATAGCATTCCTGTACACAAATAACAAACCCACTGAAAGAGAAATTAGGGAAACCACACATTTCACAATAGCATCCAAAAAAAAAAAAAAAAAGAGATACTTGGGAATCAATGTAGTGAAGGAAGTAAAAGACCTTTACATTAAAAACTACAGTACTCTGATTGAAGAGGATATCAGAAAATGGAAAGATATCTCTTGTTCTTGGGTAGGAAGAACCAGTATAGTGAAAATGGCCATACTTCCAAAATTGTCATACAGATTTAATGCAATCTCAATCAAAGTACCAATAGCATACCTCACAGAATTAGAGAAAACAATCCTAAAATTCATTTGAACCAGAAGAGACCTAGAATAGCAAAAGCAATTCAGGGCAACAAAGGCAAGAGAGGGTGCCTCATAATCCTTGACTTGAAATTGTACTATAAAGCTAATGTGATAAAAACAGCATGGTACTGGGGGAAAAAAAAAAGATCTGAGGATCAGTGGAACAGATTTGAAGATGTAGAAACAACTCCAAACAATTTCAGCCACCTCATCTTTGACAAAGGGGCCAAACACCTTCACTGGAAGAAAGATAGCCTTTAATAAATGGTGCTAAAATGTACCAATAAAAGAATTTAAGCAAAAAAAGAAAAAGGGCAAGGTAGAAGCTCTGATCACAAGAGCTTTGTCTATTTTGGAGGATGATAACATCAAGAAAGTATCGAAGCCAGTTGTAAAGTGTGGTAGATGTCTCAAGCTGTGGATAATTTTCATCACCTCTCTGTAAGATCTGTGCTGAGATGAGCGTGTGTTTCTAAGGGGAAGCATCTTTGGTTTTGGACACTGTGGAATGAAAGCGTGTGTTTGGGTTGGCGTCAGATTCACATAGCACTGTTGAACAATTACAGATACGAAAGTATAGTCCAGACAGCGAGATAGTTCCCAGGAACCACCAGCTTAGAATATTAGATAAAAGTGTTGTGAATTGTTTATCTAGAGAAAGGAGTTTTTAATTGCATATGTTTTGATCACACATCATACCATATAAAATTGCCATGATGTTGGTTTATTGGTAAGGGGATTTGTGATTCCCAATCCTGTTGAAGTTTTCCAATAAATGCTGCAATGATATATAAATAAATAAATACATACATACATAAATAAATAGACGGTGCTGGTAAAACTGGCTTTCCATTTGCTGAACATAAAACTAGACCCATATCTCTCACTATGCACTAAACTAATATCAAAATGGATCAAAGATCTAAATATTAAAACAAACACTAGATCTACTGGAAGATAGAATAGGTAGGACTCTTGAAGACATAGGTGTATGCAAAGACTTTATGAATAAAACCCTGATCACACAGGAACTATCACAAAGAATCAACAACCGGGATCTCATCTTACTTTACACACCAAGAGAAACCACCAGCACCATGAAGAGACAACCCACAGTGTGGGAAAAGTTTTTTTGCCAGTTGTTCTTTAGAGAAAGGACTAATATCTAGAATATGTAATAGCTCTAAAAATCAGACCCCTAAATTTAAAGACCCAATCCAAAAATGGGCATCTGAAATGAATAGACACTTTGCAGATGAAGAAGTAGAAACAGCAAATAAATATATGAAAAAATGTTCAACATCACAAGTCATTTGATAAATGCAAATTAAAACAACTCTGAGATTCCATCTCTAGAAAGAATAGCTGTTATCAAGAAATCAACCACTAACAAATGCTAGAAGGGCTATGGGGAGAAAGGAACCCTTCTCCACTGTTGGTGGAAGTGTAGACTGGGGCAACCACTATGGAAATCAGTGTGGAGATTCCTCAAAAAAACTAAAACTAAAGGTTCCATTTGGCCCACCTGTTCCCCTCCTAGATATCTTCCTGAATGAATTAAAAGCATCATAAAAACAGTGATATATGCACACCCATGTTTGTAACAATTTGTAATAGTTTATAATAGCACAGTCACAGTTTGTAATAACTACAGCTTGGAAACAGCCCAAATAACCATTAGCTGATGAGTAGATAAAGAAGTTGTGTATTTTTTATATAATTGTGTAGTACTCTACCATAAAGAAGCATAAACTTGAGACATTTCTAAGTAAATTGATGCATCTTGAGACCATACTCTTAAGTGAAATAAATTAGACACACATGTGTAAACATTGCATTATTTCTCTGGTATAAGAAACCAAAAGGATAAATAAGAACCTAAATGTATAACAGATATTGTGAAATAGGAAGAAAATGTTCATTTGGGAAGGGGAACAAGGGTGGGGAGGGAGGAGGGAGAAAGAAAGGAAGGGAAAAGAAGAAAAGGAGAATAGAAGGGGGAAAAAGCTTTTGTAAAGAAGGAGAAGAGGGGTTGAAGGGAGGGGAGGTCATCAGGGGAAAAAAAGAATCAAGAAAAATTATGTACAGGTACAAATTCCCAATAATGAATGCTATGAGTATGTATATTTAAAATGTTGCAAATGACATTAATTTTAAAAATAAAAATAGCAGTAAAAAACTCACTTCAGTGTTTCAAATGGCAAAATATACAATTTAAAAAAAAAAAAAGTATTGTATTTCCATAGAAAAATACAGTATTTTAGAAATTTAAGTCCAAATGATAGAGATCTTTGGATAAAGTGCTACTAACAAATCATCTATGGGTTAAAAATTGTCAAACTGAAAACAAATTATTTTTTCTAAATAAAATGTTTACACATATGTCTTTGTTTAGTCCAATTAAAGAGTACATCTTGAACTTAGAAAATGCTGGAAGAGCTAAAATACATACTATGCCCAAAATGTCACTTAATTGTAAGCCATGGCACTTATTTATAATATAATTATGTCCAATTCACATTTACTATAGTTTGAATATAGAGTAATTATAAATTTAGTTTTGAATTCAATTACTGAATTATTTTCTTTCTTTTTTTGGTAGCAGGACTCGAACTCAGGACCTTGTGCTTGCGAGGCAGGCTCCTGAACCACTGAGCTAAATCCCCAGCCCTTGAATTATTTTCTAATGAAAATAAATTCATTAAATTCATTAAAATAAATTCATATTGTGTAAGTGGATTTATAAAAGTAGAGTAAACGTAGCAGGAATCTATCAGAAAAAATGTGTGACCTATCCATTCCTTGAAGTAATAATGAACAATGTAGCCACTAAGACCTACATTCTGTTTGATATCCTGCAAATTGCAAAATGATATTTCTGTCAAGTACTATTAGTACAGGTAGCACGGTGGAGCTGGGAGACCACTCCCCTCCACACACTTCAGTTCAGGACTCTTCCCAGGGCCAGTCCTCCTCCCACTGTTCCATGTAACTTAATCAGTGTGAGGTCAGGAACAAATCTACTTGTAGAAAATTCCTACCCAGGATGACTCTGCACTCTGTTAATCATTCCTGTCAGTCTTACCTAGAGACTCAATGAAAGGTGCTGGGCTCCGGTGCACCTCCTTAGAGATCTGAAAGCCTACTTTATCTGTGTGCTTTTTGCCTTCCTTGTCATCCCAGCCCCACTTTATTTGTACTATGGTTCTCTCAGCACGGACTTGCCCTGAGCTCCTGGAATCTATCTGTTGGATCCATCCTATGGTACCACTATAATATTGAGTATATTACTAGACCAGAAGCTTAATAATTTACTGTAGCTTGGAAAAATAATTTAGTCCGTTTATTAGTGTTAGGGAAAAAAAGTAGCCCTATAAGTATTTGTGAATTTTATGTCTGGTCAGAATAATGTGAAAAGAAAGTTACAATATTTGATTTATAAAACAATGGTACTACAATTTTTATTACATAACATGTTTCAAATCTTGTTTCAGAATAACAAATGCTACAGCCTGTCATTATATAAAAGCTTTAAACCTCTTTTTATTACCTGCTCCTGCAGCTCCAGTAATTAGAAATGGGAAACATTTAGCTTTGTTATTTTTAAAGCAAGGCTTATTGATGGCTTATTAAGGATCACATTTTATTTTGCTTCAGAGGAGGATGGGATCAAGCTAAGAAATACAGTCTTTGCAGTCAGTACCGAAGGATAAAAATGTGGGTTCTATCTTTTGACCTGCTGTGGCACCTAAAGCTTGTAGACCCCTTTGGCTCAGTTCCTTATGAACAAAATTGAAAACAAGACAAAAAATACATCTGCCATCTCTGGCTTACTTACCAATAGGGATAGTTCCTGGTGCAATTGTCAAGTCAGGCCCAATTTCTGTAGAACCTGAGATTAAAAGTAGAAAAGCATGAGCAGTGTCCTTATTTTACTGGAGCACCATCCAGATGTTCATCAACTGCTCTGCATCTAGGTGTGGCTGCTCTAGTACCTGCTGTGAAGGCTGTGCTGCTGCCTCTTGTTGCTGTGGAGGTTGTAGCTGGCACTCCCATTGTACCTGAAATTAAAAGAAAAGAAAAGGAATTTAATAACATAGTTTTTACTGAACTTCTCTGTGGTATCTCTAACTTAATCAAACCTGATCCTGTGATATTCCTACCACAAAGTGCTTCCTTTTTTGTTTTTTTGGTACTGGGGATCAAACTCAGGACCTTGTGCTTGTGAGGCAGGCAGCAGCACCACTGAGCTAATTCCTCAGCCCCTTAATACTTCCTTTTTAAATAGGTGATATCATCACGCTGAAAACTGAATATGTCTGCTTGAAAATGATTCTTAACCAGATTCTCATTCAAATCATTGCCAAATCCCCTCAAAGGCTCCTTAAAAGTATTTTTGAGTCTTTTTATTTTTTTCCAGCTGCTACCATAGTTTATTTGAAACCATTGCTTCTTATTTTGCCTCCTAAAAACCTCTCCACTTCCTTCTTACCTTAAACTATCCTTCTTCACATTGCACTCCGGTTTTGTAAAAAATGCAAACCTGATTGTATTACACTTCTTTCCCACAGTTTTTGGTAGCCTACATAAAGTCTTAAAAGGAAGTCCAAAATGCCTAAATCCTTAACTTCTGCTGCAAGACTGCAGGATGAAGTTCCTTCCTCCTTCTGTAGGCTTGGATTTTACCATTCTCCTGCTTCCTACTTGGGCACCACAGGGCATGGGGCATCGTGGCCTCGTTCTATCTTAAACTTGCTAACAGCCCGTGGCTTCCCCCTCTCTTACCATTTCCCTCTCTAACTAGCTCCTCTTCATTCTTTAGGATACCAGGTGGAATGCCACTTTCTAACACCCTTGTCTTATTCTTAGCACTAGCACAACTATAATCAACCATATTATCGAAGTGCTTCCTTTCTTACCAATATATCCCCTCATAGACAAGATGCACTAAGAGCAAAGACCTTGTCAAACTTGTTTATCTCTGTACCCCCATACCTTTCACAATATCTGGCATGCAGCTTGAAAAAAATAAAAATAGTGAAATACTACAAACGGTAAAATTTGAGGCTTTGTTGTTACAGAAAACTTCAAATTTTGCCATAACATATGTTCTGCTATACTAGTCCTTTTACTCACCTCATTTTCAGAGATTGAATTTGGTGTATCTGAGGCTTTATTGGGATTTCCCTTCAGAAACTATATTTCCTTTCCTAATTTTAATTTTTATTAGTACATGTACAGTACATAGTGACTGCATTCCTTGTGGGGAGTTGGTACGTGTACATAACCCATCTTAATTTCTTGCTCCTCCCCTTCCCTCACTTCCCTTCCTCTCCCTCCATCTCTTGGTCACCTTCCCTTTTTATAAAAGATCTATCTCTCTGTTTTCTTTCTGTTTTAGTTTATGTCCATTGTCCTAGAAGGGAGGACTGTGCAGTAAGCAAGAAAGATACACTCATGCCAGACCTGCTAGGTTTAGCTTTTTACTTACACATGCTAACTAAATCTCTCATCTTTCTCATTTGAAACCATCGTGCAAAGTAATATCACTCCGATTGCTGTGAAAATAACTTACATGTTGCATAACTTCAAATAGTGGTTGCTGTACAATAGCACTCCATATTGTTTTAAACTTCAAGATTTATATCCTGATATAATAAGGACTGTTTGTTTGTTTGTTTTGGTACCGCGGATCGAACTCTGGACCTTGTGCTTGCAAGGCAGGCTCTGGAACCACTTGAGCTAAATCCCGGCCCTATAATAAGGATTGTGAAGACAATTTCCTATTTTTCCATTATAGTCCTAAACCACTTAACCAAATATAAAATCCTAATATGAGATTATTTAGATTTGACATTCTTATTTCCCTATGTACAAAACATTTGTTACCATTACTGGATTTATCAGAAAATCCCTCATGTTATACTATAGTCTGGCCAATTAGTTTCCTTTCTCACTTGCCTGATTTTCCAGGACTGGTTAATCTGGTCACACTTCCACCTGCTCCAGTGGTGGATCCATACAGCTCGTTAGCAGTGCCTGGTGAAAGGAGTAATCAATATTGTTTCCACATGCATAATTTTAGTAAAAATTACCTTTCTGCTACTTAAGTAAGTTAAAAATTCAGTTTTTGATAAATCTAGATCATCTGTTAATCATTTCTCCCAAAATGTATGTCCTTGGCTAAATTACTTAGTCTTTTTATCATAATTCGGGTCTTGGCCATGTTTATGTTGGGCCACTATTAGGGCACCCAGGTGAGCCCTGTCTGCTTTGTCCACAAAGGTAGTGGCCCTAGAGCCTGAGGTCCAGTGGTGCTTTCCCTCCATGCACTTATGAGGATCCTCCTCTCCATCATCTGCTTATAACCAGTTTTGGCTGGGGGGGAGGGAGGTTGTTGTGGTAGTGGGTTTTTTATTTGTTTGTTTGTTCTTGTCTGGTGAAAATAAACTTCTCAAGAATTAAGATAAATCAATTTAAAACAATAATGTTCTGGAAATCTACCATCATATTCACCAATCTGAGTTTTTAATGCCCTATTTGTGATAAATTTATACAGACTCAAGTACTGGGATTCTGACCAAAAATTACACACATCATGTGCTTTATCTTTAGTTAATTAATTTGTCTTCAGCTACTCTGACCTTACTTCCTGGTTCTCTGGTAACTACCCCCTTGGAAATGCAAGCTTATGATACAGCTGTACCATATCCTCCTGATGATGGATTAGTTGTCCCAGTTGTCCCTTACCTGACGGTCCACTTGTCCCAGCTACTCCAGTTGACTGTTCAGTTTTGCTTGTCACTCCATCTGACAGTCTGCCATTACCAGTTGTTCCAGCTGATGATGCAGTTATTTCTGATGGCCCTGCTGTAGTTGACCCTTCAGTTGATGGTATAGTATTCCCTGTCTCTTCAGATGAAGTCCCTGTCACTGCTGATGGCTGTCCTGAAGTTCCTGTGACTTTCACTGACGGCCCAGTGGTCTCTATAAACAAGTGATACAAGGAAAATGACGTTAATAGCTGGCTTGGTCCCATTTCTTCCCCATACTCACCACCTTATTTCCTACTTTTCTTTTTACTACAGTGTAATTGCTTCTGTTCATTTATGCCTTTAGCAAGCATTTATTCAATGCTTATTATATGTTGAAGAATTTCTCAGAAACTTAAAAGCATTACCTTATTTTATCATAAGAACAAGCCTATGAATCATACATTATTATCTCATGCTACCATCTAAGTCCCATCTTCCTTCTTCTTACCTGAAAGATTCCAATTGTTTCCTAATTTCACACATAATTACCAAATAAGTATTCTGTACCAAAGTTCTGCTTGTGTTCTCTGCTTAAGCATATGGTATAGTAATTCTTAAACTTTAATGTGTGTAAAAGTTACCCACTGAGACTATTAACAGTGTAAATTTCCCCAGTTCCCTTGTAGAAATTTTATTTAAAAATATTTAAGAGATTAAGCTTGAAGTACAATAAAGTTCATATATGTACTTTTAGTTTCTAGGACAACCATTGGAGAAAAGAATAAGTTAACTGATATCACAAGGAAACAATCAGTTAAATTTAGAATAATCTAGAAAGGGATATAAGAGCATGACTAGAGTCAGGTATATCACTTGGAGTAGGAATACTTTCTTGGTGATGTATCACAAATGAGACACATGATACCAAGTTCCAGTGATCAGTGATGCCATGTTTGATCACTAGGTTTAGGTGGTGACAGTCAGAAGTCTCTGATGCCAAGTATCTTTCTACTCTGCAAATAGTTGGGTGGTACTTTGGCCTCATGAAAACATGCAGGTCTTTCTCAGTCTCTTCCCTAACATTACTAGTATTTATTTACACTCCTTACCTATTTCACCCAGGATTGCAGAACAGCAATTTTTTTAGTTGTACCTTTCTTTCAATATTTATTAGTTGGCATTTAAAAAAAAATTTCTTTTCACTGAATTATATCAATACCTTCCTCCATAGTTTCTAGTGAAAATCTTGGATAATTACTTAATTTTCCCTTGAATTACCGAATTTTAGAATAAAGAATTGGCATAATATTCACCTCCAACAGTACCAAATGGGCTGTTGCTGTTACTTCTCTTTTTTATCATTGGAGGCACATATATTTTTAACCAAATACATGTATGTCAATCAGTTGTGATGATTATTTTTTTCCCCAAACAAGCCAAATTGGGCAGTAGATGCTCCTTCTTCTGGGGACCCTTGACACTTTGACTGCACACCTTTACTCTTTGAATGCTTCCTTGTCTTCTAACTGCAGAAGTCTCAAGCTCACCTAGCATTTTCCCTGACCAAGACCTGGAATCAGTTATTATTCATGCTTTCTCCAGCAGCAGCAAACACATGAGTTTAGGAGGACAGAGGCAGAGTTACGAGCCACACCAGTGCAACTAAAGATACTTGCAAAAGAGGACTTCCAGAACTGTTTCTGAAAGTGGCAAAACTAATGGGACAAGAGTTATCAAAGCTAGGAGGAGTATTTTGAGGGGGACTAATGGCAATATGTTTTTACTGTAATAATTGTTTTAATTTGAGCATTCACTATTTTTATCATACCTTATATATATAATGTACATCTTTACAAAACATTTAGATAGCAACCCCAATTTTTCTTAAGGCTGTGAATTGTATGCATGCTTTTTCTGTTGCTTGCTTTTTCTCCTTAGTGAATTCTGGAAATAGATAATTACATAAAGATTTTCTTCATTCACTAATATGGCTTCCTGAAACTTTATAACATGTTTTATTCCATATGTTTTTTTCTATGAAGGTGTGAAATGTTCCTAATCTTTGTCTATTGAAAACAATCCTAGTATGAATAGCTTGTACATATGTCATTCTGTAGGTTGTGTAACTTCACTATAGTGCCCAAAAGATGGGATTTCTGGGCCAAAGGGCAAATGCATTTATGCTTCTGTTAGATTTTTGCCAAGCTGCCTTCCATGGGGTTGGAACATTTTCAGCTGCCACCTGCACTGTACAGAGCCACCTGCAATGTACAGAGCCACCTGTTTCTTTCCAGCCCTGTCAGTAGGGCTGTTGTCAAACTCTTGGATTTCGGCCAATCTGAAAAATGAGAAATGTAGTTTAATTTGCATTTTTTCCCATGTGTGAAGTTAACTATGTATTTCAAATTCCATCCTTCTAATCACCATACTCATCATAGAGGAAAGGAGGGCACAAATATCTTCTTCCCTTCCACTCCTTTTCCCTCTCTTTCTCTCTCCCTGTATTTTTTCTTTTTGTTTTATGTTTTTGGTGTTTATTTGTGGTTTTTTGAAACAGAGTCTTACTATGTTGTCCAACCTGGCCTCAAATTCACTAGATAGCCAAACCTGATCTTAAATTGTGTCTGATCCTCCTGTCCAGCCTTCACACTTCTGGGATTATAGGTATGTATCACCTGGATGTCATTTCTAGTTTTCCTAAGGGGAAGAACTGAGGAACCTCAATGGACAAGAGAGACGGACGGACGGGGAGGCAGAAAACATCCCCGCGTGGACATGGCCCCCTTCCCTCCTGTCCCAAGCAGCGCTCCGCCCGTGCCTCCCCCTGCCTGGGGTGTTGTCCACACCGTGGGGTGCCCCCTCTGGC